TATTTATACATAATTAATATAATTAAATATACTAACCCTTAATTATTTTAGAATGATATTATTTGAACGTAATTGTAATTAACATATAACAGACCATGGCCCATAGCCCGACAGTTCTCCAACTGTCACATTACAAGGGAGGTGTTTCATAATGTTTCAACGCATTTACAGAATTGTTTCGGAATGTTTGAAAGTGCTTCAAAATGTTTAGGTATATTTTGACTTATGTTATAGAAAAATAATTCTCAAATTTTTTATTTGTTTACATTCAGTTTTCAAAACAGGTCGAAACGGGTCAAAAAGAAATGAAATTCTATTTCATTGGTGACTGAAATCATGCATTGATATGAAATTTTGATCCTTGCCTACGTTAGCAAAACAATATAAAATTGGTGAGTTTTTAAAAACAAAAAACAAATAGTAAAGGGAAAGGGAAAGGGAAAGGGAAAGGGAAAATTTTCATCAACACCCCCCTTTAGTTAGGTCTAAATTCAATGATACCCTCTCCTGATTCTAAAACTTCACTGCACCTACTTTCAAATCAAAGATATTCCCTTAACAGTAATTTTTAACTCAGCCAATACAAAAAGTAACGGTTTGACTACAAATTTTTTGAAAATGTCAAAACTACCATTCCTAATGTATATATACTAAAATGCTCTCAATCCTTTTTCCATTATATATATCATACCTTTTGTTGTTTGTAAAGATCCAAAACAATTTGGGATCGCTGGAAGACGTAGGGGACTAAAGTCAATCATTATTCTGTAACTCGTTCTCCACAGTGATTCATCACTACCTAAGTTGATAAAAAAAAATATTTTTTTTTCTTACAGATTTGTAAATGTTTTTCATGCAGATTTTTTAAAATTTTTTCATGCAGATATTTTTAATTTTTTTAATGCAATTTTTTTAATTTTTTTTCCATGCAAATAGTTTTAATTTTTTTCATGCAAATTTTTTAAACTTTTTTACATCCAAAACACTCGTTAGACTTTTAAGTCATTAAGTCCATTTTCTTATAAGTTGTTGGATAAGAGATACACTTTTCGATTTCTTATTTTTTTATATTACCTAAGTTCTCTCTGTGGTATATTTTTTTGTTGTTTATTATAAATTGCAGGGTTTTAAATTTATTTTATATTTAAAAATAATTTTTCTATAATAAAATTACAATCAATAAATTTAATGTCAAAATTCCATCAATTTCTAACTTCTCTATTATCGTCTGTCATATCTGACCACTCTTCATATATTACCCTTCATATGTAAAATTTAAATATTATTTGATAAAATTTAATATTAATTAAATAAATTTGGTCTTAATATGATAAATTTAAATATTAATTTAGTTTTAATTTGATAAAATTAAATATTAATTTAGCGTTGATTTGATAAAATTTAATGTTAATTGAATAAATTTAAATGTTACTTTAATGAAATTGAATGTTTATTTGGTGTTAAATTAAATAACTGACATTGATTTGATAAGGTTAAATGTTAAATTAATAGAATTTAATATTCTATTTAATATTTTAATTTTAATTTAATAAAATTAAATAATAATTTAATGTTAAATTAAAGAAATAATTTTAATTTGATGAAATAAATTATTAAATTAATATAACTACATGCAAATTTGATAAAATTAAATATGAATTTATGTAGATTTGATGAAATGAAATGTTAATTTAGTTTAAATTAAATAAATGACATTAATTTAATAAAATTAAATAATAAATTGATGAATCTAAAAGTTAATATAATAGAACTAAAAGTGAGTGTATTGAAATTTCAGAACTATGAGGGGATATTGTTAAAGATACGTCTATTTATAGGGGATATCATTGAAGTTATGTCTATTTACAAGAGGGTGTGGATAAAATTTATCCTATAAAATATTCAGGGCTATTTTTATAAATTAATAGTTGTCGTTAAAGCCGTAATCCGACAAACACCGACAGGAGTGACAGTGAAGTTTCAAAATTAAGAAAGGGTGTCGTTAGGGATGCCAATGAACCGAAACGGAGGCGGGGGTATAATCTTCGTCCCCGTACCCGCTTAAAAAATCTTCGTCCACCCCCGTTAACGGGTATAATTTTCATCTCCATTCTCCCGTCCTCGTCCCCGCTTCCCCGTACTCTCCTAAGCCCAAGCCCAAGCCCAATACAACATAATCTAAAATTTTAAATAAATTCAATATTTTAAATAATCTTATCAAAATTCTAAATAATCTAACATAATCTAACACAACATATCGCAAGACAATCTAGCAATTAAATAGCTCAAGAATACAATTAAGTTAAATGGATGACATTATAGCAGATTGAAATAGCAAAACAACCCAGAAAAATAGCACCAGAAGCAGCCCCAGAATACCACTAAAATAGCCCCAAAACAGCACCAAAATAGCCCCCAAAACAGCACCAAAAATAGCATAGAACACAGCCCCAGAAACACCACCAAAACGCACATTGAACCAACCCAATTGAACACAAAGAGACATAATAAAAAAGCCCCAAGTTCAATAATGAAATGTAAATCAAAGATATAAATTTCTTAGCACATTAAACATTTTACACAAGAAAGGCACCTTGTGCCAAATTACAGAGAACAAGCAAGCAAAATACTCAGAACCACAAAAAAACAATATAATTACCATAATGGAGCAATTCTAACTTCGCTGAAAACAATTTTTAAGTCACAGAGAGAGAGAGAGAGAGAGTACAATCTGGTAGGAACTGGCCATTCTAATTTATCAATCTTCGTTAATATTTTGTTCAATTTTCCATAAAATAGTTAGATTTCTACACAATAAAAATTTTACCCAATATTCTAAAAAAATTATACAGAAGATCAACATTGAGAAACATTTAACTCTATAATCATACACAAACGATCAACATGCAGATAGCAGTATGCCAGTGGCTGCCTTTAGCAGATCAAATAGCCACTGTGCGTGGCTAATGCAGTAAGGGTTTAGAGATGAAGAGGAGACTTGAGTGTTTTAGATCTCGTGTCTAATTGTCGTATAGATAGAAAATGGACTGAGAAGAGAAGAGAAGCGAAAAGAATGTACCTTGACTGAAGAATCCACAATGGAGGATCGGGCTCTGTAAATTGCCACAAAAGACGGCCGGCGATGATTCGGCTAGTGGTGGCTAAGGCTCGAGGTGGTCCGATGTCGGCTTGTGGTTGCTTTGCGGTGGGCGGCGCTAGAGCTGAGACGATAGAGGAGAGAAGGGAGTCGAGGTGTGGCGGTTGCCAGATAGTTTGAGGAGTGTGGCTCGGGATCGACTGAGGGAAGCATAGAGAGGCGAGAGAAGCAGTAAGGTAGGCGTAGGGTTTTAATTGGGAGTTTATTTATGTATATATATATTTAATAGGGAACCGGGACGGAACGGGACAGAGATAAGGATAAGTTGATCACCGTCTTCATTTTTGCATATGTTTATACAGATATTTTGTACGTGTTTATCGTACAAATACATATAGTTCATCTTCGATACTCGTTTTTTTCGAGTTCACTACCATCCCTAAGTGTCATTAAATTTAAACCTAATTACATAGAGCGGAGATAAAATTTTCCCAATGAAAAAATATGGCAAAGGCAAAAATGGTTTAGGGTACTGGATAAAGAACTCAATTCATTTCAGCATAATCAATGACTCGGGGCAATTAATTTTGAGTAAAATCACCAAAAAAACGTATAAAATGATTCAGATCTTGTCCATTATACCTTTCTTTCAATACAATGCTAGATGAGTGACACGTGTAAGATTTTAAATTGTAATTGATAAGATTTTGTTTTATGAGAAAATTTCTTAATAATGAGAAAAAATTTTTAATAATGGTTAACACTCCATCAACAACAAAAATGAATGAGGAAACATCTTATCTATTGAAATTTAATATTTTACACGTGTCATTCATCTAATATTATATTGAAAAAAATTAAAAAAAAAAGGGGGTAACGGATGAGATCTAAATCCTGCTTCATGGGACATAGTTGTTTAATCTCTCCCCGAGATCTACGCCTTTTATGATTGAGGGCCAACTCATTTTGAGCAGATCCAGTAGCAATAATTTCGGGTCAACCCACCAAAAATTCATATAAAACAACTAGAAAATATTTTAAGTGGCCTAGGTAGCACCAGATAAAGAATTCATGTAACACATGAAGTTTGACTCCCGCAACACTTGCGAGCAGGAATGATATGTTCACATTAACAAACAGATCGAGTTAAGCAGGTCTTGGGGCATCCCACATTAAACAACAAAAGTCGTCATCACTTACTAGGGAGAAATTTGCAGTCTTAATTTACTGTGCAACAAGTGCCAGTGATTTGTGTTAAAGATTGGCAGAGTTTGACAAGAAAAGTTAATAAAATACGAAGTTGATATAAAATTGGTGAGTTATAATTGACCATATGTATCTCACGCCTTCTCATTTACGTCTATTGCTTCTCTTTTACGGTTGAAGGCCAACCAATTTTGAGCAGATTCAATGATCAAGACAGCAATAATTTTGAGTCAAGTCACAAAAACACTATACAAAACAATCTAGCAAATGAAAAAATATGCCCAGTAACTTACAATACTAGATAAAGTACGATTTTTGGTACAAAAAATACGATTAGAATTAACTATTTTTCGACACCGACTTGATTTGATCTGAAAACACATATAACAAACAGGCTTGGATTAGTGTAAACACAAATTATACTATTTTGACACCACAGTCCCATTTAATATATAGTTATTGTATAAGGAAAATGTTTAATTTTTTATTTCTTTATTGGATATTGTATGAATAATTGTAGCATTAGTTTTTTTTTTTCAAGTTAATTTTAATACCATAAAGATGAAATGGGTTTTTCATAGGGGTGTATGTGTGGCTGGCTTGGTTGACAGTGAAAGAAGCCTTAGTTTTGTTGGTTCATGGCAACACCTTTCTTGAACAAGTCATCTTGATCTGCACCAAGTTTACCTTTATTTAGTTGTCTATTCTACCTGTGTCAAACAATGCCAGAAATTGAGTCAAGCAGCAATCAGGGCAGGGTTGGGAAAGGGATCATTCAATCAGGAGGAAACAGTAATGTGATCCTTCCTGCAACGGTACCTCAGGTACAGGCTGAAATCGAAGATGCTGATAAGTGGATAATCTCGGTGATGGAAGACGGTGGCCGTAAGAGCGGAGCCATTCGATCCAAACAAAAAAAGTTACAGAAGGTTGTACAAGAACTAAGAAATAACAAGGAGCTCGAAGGATGTTTTGATCCAAGAGTTGTTTCGATTGGCCCCTATCACCGAGGCAAGCCTGAGCTCGAAGATGCGGAGGAGTTGAGGACTACGTTAGCATTCAACTTCATTCCAAAAGAGTTCTATAACAAATTCTTAGAGTTGGTTGGGGCTACTACCTTGATGGCTCAACACATGACTATGATGATGACGCATTTGCCCATATGATGTTCCTTGATGGTTGTTTTATACTGCATATTATTGACACTGTAGTAAATGAAAAACGTGAGGCTGTATACATATTGTATCGCATCTTGGGGCCAGGAAGAGCAACTATGTTATTCTCGGACTTGATCTTGCTGGAGAACCAACTTCCATTCCAAGTTATCCAGGCCTTAATGAGCATTAGATACAAAGAAGATGAAGGAGAAAATATGATCAACAGTTTTGTCGAAAAAATGTATGCAACAACCAGTAAGAGACAGGGGCGGCAAGATGAGCAGCCCATTCACCTCTTAGGACCCGTGCGAGAAAAACGTATTCCCCGCAACAGCAAGAAGGAATATGGGAAAGGCCGAAATGCGCCTGATATGGTCATTCGTCACTCCTTCGGTTCAGCAACAGAACTTAAAGCAAAAGGAATACATTTCAAGTCTAGCAGTACATGTTATCTAACAGACATCAGCTTCACTTCGTCCTTTGGCTATGGACAGTTGACACTTCCTCCAATTGTATCTGGCGGGACCTCCCAGTCCCTGTTATTGAACATGATTGCATAGGAAATGGCTCCTAACACATACTTGTTGAACAATCTAAAAAAATACAAGAGATAAGAAAAATAGGAAGTTAGGATTTTATTGATACTGCATAATTAAATTGAAATACAATTAAACTAACTTAACCTAAATACAAAGAAACTATATATAAGCTAAACAAGACAGGGAAAGTAAAGGACTATTTTACCCTTAATAAACAAAATAACCATATATTTCTTAACATTTCCCCTCAAACTCACGATGCAGTAGCGACAAGCATCGAGAGTTTGCCAACTAGAAAACGAAAACAGGAAATAGAATGCGACTTGGTAAAGAAATCTGCAATCTGCAAAGAAAAAAAAACAAAGGGCAAAGTAATGGTGTCTTGCTTGAGATGATGACGAGTAAGATGACAATCGATCTCAATGTGCTTAGTTCGTTCATGAAAAATCGAGTTGTGAGTAATCTGAATAGAACTCCGATTGTAACAATACATAGGAGTGGGATGAGAAAGAGAAACTCTCATATCTACAAGTAACCAACGTAACCAAACAATCTCTTTGGTTGTAGATGTCATAGCACGATATTTTGCTTCTGTTGAAGATTGAGAAACAGTAGATTATTTCTTGCTCTTCCAAGAAATAAGAGAATCACCCAAAAAGATACAGAAACCAGTAATAAATTTGCGATCTATGGGATCATTGCCATGATCAGCATCAGAGTATGCACACAGCTCCAAGGAAGAGGTGGATGGAAGTANTGTAGATGTCATAGCACGATATTTTGCTTCTGTTGAAGATTGAGAAACAGTAGATTATTTCTTGCTCTTCCAAGAAATAAGAGAATCACCCAAAAAGATACAGAAACCAGTAATAAATTTGCGATCTATGGGATCATTGCCATGATCAGCATCAGAGTATGCACACAGCTCCAAGGAAGAGGTGGATGGAAGTAAAAGGCTCTGAAAAACTGTACACCGAAGATACCTCAAAATACGAAGAACCGTTGCACAATGAACTGTAGTAGGAGAAGCAACAAATTGACTAACAACATGAACAGCATATGCAATATCTGGACAAATAATAGTGAGATATACCAAGCTCCCAACAATGGTACGGTATAAAGTAGGATCTGATAAAGGTAAATCATCAGAAGAGGAATACTTTGCGTTAACCTCAATGGGAGTATCTACAATCTTATTATCAGTAAGTCTTACTCGCTCAAGAATATCTGTAATATATTTCGACTGAGAAAGAAGATAACCTCTGGGTGAGCAGACTACCTCAATACCCAAGAAATATCGTAGAGAACTCAAATCCTTCATTTTAAATTGTCTAGCTAACTCTGTCTTCAAAATTGAAATACCATTAATATCATCACCAGTAATAATTATGTCATCAACANACTACTTCAATACCCAAGAAATATCGTAGAGAACCCAAATCCTTCATTTCAAATTGTCTAGCTAACTCTGTCTTCAAAATTGAAATACCATTAATATCATCACCAGTAATAATTATGTCATCAACATATAAAGACAGAATGATACGACCTGCATCAGTG